AAGCAATTGTTTCTTTTAGCTCAAATTTGTTAACATGTAATGTACCTATATTTTGTATCTGCTATTACAGTGCCAACAACTAGAAAATGGTATCAAGACTAAATGAATGCCATGCCAGACTTTTTTTGACATTTTTCTTTCAGAAAATATAAGTATAATTTATAAATCTTGCTTTTTTTCAATTCTGAGTCACTGCTTTGAATTCTATAATTTGCTATGAGTCATGGAGAACGGGAATAAAATTTTAATGCAATGAAATTTAACATAAAATAATATGCATGACATAACATATTTACAAACAATCATAACAAAATGAATTTTTAATTACATGAGATCAAGCATCACAATAATTTCATCACATACACTATACTCAAACACAAGTATACACTTCCACACATCTGATCTTAATAAAATCACCCTCAGTTAAGGATAAATAACACAAACAAACTTTTTTCAGAAATCAGCATTATTTCTCATATATTCACACTTAAATTGACAACCTGAATAATGTTTACAAAGTAGAGTGTGAAAATTTTATAAGATTTTGTCATAAATTTCATGCATCTCGTCTGTAAACTCTTCTTTGGCTGGGTCCTCCCATTCTGGCATTTCCCAGTAGCTCCCTCCAGGTCCTCATAACCTGTCAATCAAAGGTCAACAGTTCATCACTAAGTCAAGTTCAAATAAATAACAATTTTCTAAGTCAAAAATTTCTTTCTTGGACCTCTGTTCAAGTAACACAAAATTTATCAGACTTCTTCTCCTATTAAAGAACATATTGTGTGCATTCTGATAATTGACAATTGAACTTACTAAGGTCTGCCCCAGAGGGTTCTGTTTTTATTTCTTCGTTTGTTTTTATGACGTCAATCATTTACTCTTCCTCCTGACTTTTATTTGTTGAGGATACATTTGTTTTTATAATTGGAGTGCTATAAGAAAAATTGATCACATTGTTATTACATGTATAAAAAAAATAAAAGCAATAAACTTCTTGTGCTTTCAACAATTAAGGGGGCCAACGATAGTTTTATTGTGTGAAAACTACAATAGCGAAACTCATCATTTTTATATGCGAAATATTGCGCAATGAAAACTATAGTCGGCCCCCTTCAAAGTACTTTAAATTTCATACCTATACGAGGGTTGTCCCGTAAAATCGTGGACAAAGCGTTTTTCTCGAAAAGTAATGGGCGCACTAAGCTGAAAATTTCAGTTAATGTTTATTTATCATATTTAAGTGCATGATAATTTTTTTGATAAAATATAGGCAAAAATAAAGATTTTATTATGCTTGGATGTGCACGAGGTATTGTCCTACGGCGCACGGTCAAAAAACCAAGGGTTTATTAAAGAATACACAAGTTTGAATTCAAAATAAAAGTTTTAACTACATAAGATCTGGAATAAAATTATCCTAAATCAATTCCACAATCAGTTTTGTAGTCCTTGTGAAAATCTTAAGGTATTTGCTTAATTTTAGGCAGTTTCTCGAGCATTCGAAATGGGAAAGTGGTAAACACAATGCACGAAAAATGGCCCCGTTTTATGACGTTACGGCGCACCGGAGAACAGTTCAGTTTTATTTCTATGTTGTAATGACACCTTTAGAGACTTGAAATGACCACAAAAGAAAAAAAAGATTATAAAAATATATTACCATTTCTTAAGTTTACAAATGAAATAGGAGTTTTCTTATCGAAGTCATTTTTGATCGAGTCCCTGGGGAGTTCAAAACATGCGGACAAACTCCTCATGTAATAGCAAAGGATGCTGTCACAGTAGACCGCCTATATGAAATTTTCTATTAGTTAAATGATGGTGAGAATATAAAAATAAATTATTCCCGTATTAAATCATTACTTCATGACGTAATATAAAACTTCTTATGAAATCTAGTTTATTTGAGTACCTTAACTGAGCTGCTATCAAGTTTATTTGAGTTCATTAACTGAGCTGATATCTAGTTTATTTGGTTACCTTACCTTAATGACATCAGGTTTATAATCTTATGGCCTTCTTGTTCTTGTCCCAGTCTTGTTAATGTGTCCTAATGTTCAGTGAAGTATTGATCAAAAGATAATGTTTCCTAAACTTTTTTGTTTTGAAAAAAAAAACCCATGATTTTCATAAGAGTTCGATGCTTATTACAATCATGTCAACAGTTTAAATGCTTCATATCCACAAGGGTGTATCTCTAAAATAACTAGAAGTGCATACATATCTGTGTCTTATATTTATATTTGCAGTTTCTGTCAAAAAAAATGATGTCATAAGAAATAAGAATAAAATACTTTGCATGATTGAAGTGTTAGAATTTTAAAAATATTTGGTAAAAATTTTCAGGTTCCATTCATCAACATTTTGTATTGAAATTGCAATAATTTAATTCTGGTTGTAACGCTGTATTTGATTTGATAAAAAAAAAATATTTTATATCGTATAAAATGGGTTGCCTACGTCACAATGACTTGCTCAAAAAAGTATCAATCCGCCTGACGTTACATTCAAATTTTGTACAAACTGAACTCATTTTGTTTGCACAATCATCGTTTTTTCTTAAATCAAATGATTGAAAATTAAATTATAAGCAATGAATTTAATAGCTACCTATTTTATATGGTATAAACTGGGTTGGAACAGTTTACGCTTTTTTATAAACCGCATCGCGGTTTATAAAGCGTAAACTGCCCCAACCCAGTTTATACCATATAAAATAGGTAGCTATTAAATTCATTCCTTACTTGAAAACTGTATAAAAAAAACTTTCAAGTCATAAATCTAAGAAAGAAATCAGGGATGGGGTAATTGAATAAAGTAATAATTGTAATTGAGCGTAATTAATTATATTTTTCAAAGTAGTTGAAAGTAATTTGTATTTGAGCTTGCCTTCAATTACAAGTACTGTAGACGTACTTTTTTCCACGAGGTCATAATTCCGCGGAAACTAAATTTCTGTTTAATCCGCGGGTAGAAAATTACGCGCATTTTCTATTGGACAAATTTCTGCGGAAAATTTGTGACTGCGTACATAGCATAAATTAATACAACGCGGAAAAAAGTACTTCTACAGTAATTGAATGTATTTAAATACATTTCAAAAAAGATAACGTATTTTCAATTACTTTTCAATTACTTTTCTTCAAAATGAAAGTTTATTTTAAAAAAAGGGGTGTCTACTGATACACAGTTTTTTTTTATACTTGTTGGTTTATACATGTACTACCTATTACCACTTTTTAAAAATCTCAATTCTACCTATTCCCACTTGCAAATAACAAAAATTTTTAGATAGTTAATTGTTTTTACAATAATTAGACTAACTACATCCCCTTTTAGATTGACCTATATTCTATTCATTTTAAGTTTAAAAATATTGAATGGATTTGTGAGAAAAAAAAATTTTCTTACGAAATATGGATTTGAGAAAATAGCAAAAAAGATCATACACCATACTTGTGTAGCATAGGCTTGTGTTTGTACAATAATTAAATGTCTCATAATGTTTAATTTGTTTATACAGTGTCACAATGCCCAGGGCATTAGGTAAAGGTCTAATTTTGAACAGGTGTGAATGCTTACCATACCCAAGAAGAAAAACACTGAATAATAGTTTACTAAAGAAAAAAATATTTTTAAAAAATCTTTATTTTTTTTTTATGAAAAATAAAACTCAAGTAATTGAAATATTTTTAATTACATTTGTCAAAGTTATTGAAAGTAATTAATTACATATGAAACAAGAGGCCCAGGGGCCACAGCGCTCACCTGAGCACATCAGCTAGGAAAAAACACATATCAGATCAGAACTGAAGTTAACTTAAGTTGGGGGGGGGGCTTGAATTTTAACCACCAAGGGGATCATAATTTGAACAAACTAGAATCTACATTACCTGAGGATGATTCCATACAAATATAAATAATCCTGGCTTTGAAGTACTCGAAAAGAAGATTTAAAAAGGTTTCCCTATGTATTTCTATGTAAAACTTTGGTCGGCGATTTTGGCCACACCCTTACCCCGGGGGTCATGACTTGAACAAACTTGAATCTACACTATCTGAGGATAATTTCACTTGGGTTTCATCTTTCCTGTTTCAATGGTTCTTGAGAAGAAGATTTTTAAAGATTTTTCCTATATATTCCTATGTAAAACTTTGATCGGCCATTTTGGCCCCGCCCTACCCCCAGGGGTCATGACTTGAACAAACTTAAATCTACACTACCTGAGGATGATTCCACATGAGTTTCATCTTTCCTGTCCCAGTGGTTCTTGAGAAGAAGATTTTTAAAGATTTTTCCTATATATTCCTATGTAAATCTTTGATCGGCCATTTTGGCCCCGCCCTACCCCCGGGGGTCATGACTTGAACAAACTTGAATCTACACTACCTGAGGATGATTCCACATGAGTTTCAGCTTTCCTGTCCCAGTGGTTCTTGAGAAGAAGATTTTTTAAAAATGCCAATAATTTTTCTCTAATTCATGATTATCTCCCCTTGGAAAAGGGCGTGGCCCTTCTTTTGAACAAACTTGAATCCCCTTTACCCAAGGATACTTTGTGCCAAGTTTGGTTGAAATTGGCCCAGTGGTTCTTGAGGAGAAGATGAAAATGTGAAAAGTTTACGCCGACGCCGACGACGACGACAGACAACGGACTAATTTTGATCAGAAAACCTCACTTGAGCCTTCGGCTCAGGTGAGCTAAAAATCAATGTAATTGTAATTGCAAGTAATTGACAAAATTATCAATGTATTTGAAGATAATTAATTACATTTCAAAGTAATTGGCCCCAAGTCTGAAAGAAATGGCTGTGCAGAGAGGTTCAAACTACTAAAATATTACGTTTAGAATGAATGCATAAAAATATATACAGAATTTAGTGGTTTTTAAAATATTTAAATCCCCACTACAGACTAGGAAGTAAAAACACAGGCAGGTAGATAACACGTCAAGTAACTAAGTGGGACACGTGATCAGAGAGCATACTAAAGACCAACAGACAGGACGGCCACCATTTCTGAAATCAGGTAATAAACATTAGAGGAGCATTTTGTAAATTTGCCAATTGTTTTTATAATCTGTGAACATACATTCTATTATAAAGCTAAGCTTAACCCTGGAAATAAAATGTTGTATTTATTTAGCTGAATGACTTAACTATTGATATGTGCATACATATATATGCAAATCGTGCTGTATAATAGTTTCTGGCATATTTTTCAATTCAGTATGGTTATCGGTTAAACATAAATTTTGTTTCCTTCAAACCCATTCAACAATATTGATTGATTTTTTATGCTTCAGTCACTAAATCTTAAGATGGACCCCCGTACAAGTACCCAAGACGTGATGCGTTGTGACCTGTGTGAGACCGCTGTGGTACAAATGCACTGTGATACATGTCTTGTCAACCTGTGTAAGGCCTGTGTGGGAGAACACATCTCAACAGGTGAATCCAAGGACCACAAGGTCGTCAAATTTCAGGATAGGAATTCTACTCATATCTACCCTACATGTACAACACATGATAAAAAACAATGTGAAATGTACTGTACACAATGTGACATTCCTGTCTGCATCAGCTGTGTTGCTCTTAACCAACATTTAGGCCATGAATTATCAAAAATCTTACAAGTTCTGAATGAAAAAAAGGGCATGATTATAAAGCAAAGAAATGAATTAAATGAGACAATTTATCCCACCTACCAGGACATTGCCTCTGATGTACAAAACAGAAAGAGTCAGTTAGAAAAGGAATATGGAGATCTCTCAACAGTCATAACAAAACATGGACAAGACTGGCACAGAGAAATTGACAAACTTGTCAAGAAACTTAAAGCTGAAGTTGTTGAGATGAAAAACACACAGTTACAAACTCTACAGAAACATCTGGATGAAATAAACAATATAATATCTGACATCAAGGATGAAATCAATTCAATGGAAACTGCGACAGACACCAATGATCTGTCAAAACTGTTTAGTGTCACATCAAATGTACACATATACAGAAATCTCCCACACAAAATTATACCATCTTTTCCCAAATTCATTCCAGGAAAAATCCAAGGAGAAGAACGCAGGAAAATGTTTGGAGCATTATCATCAAGTTCTTTAACATCAAATAAACATGGTTACAGCATGAAGACAACACAGAAATCACCAGAAGCTGGATCCTCTCCTCCAGTCAAACAGCTGCTTGATCAACCAGAAACTGTCACCAACATAGACACTGGTTATAAACAACTTTACAATTTAGCCTGTTCAAGTGATGAAGAAATCTGGACAAGTGGAAATGACAACACCATGAAACTCTACAGTATCAATCAGGGATCACAACTCAAGTCAATCACTACCACTTCAGGTGAAACACCATGGAATATAGCAGTGACAAAAAGTGGATATCTATTTTATACTGATTACAGTGAAAAAACTGTGAACATTGTGAAGAATGAGAAGATAGAGGAGGTGATCAGACTACGGAACTGGAGACCTAAAGGTGTCTGTAGTGCCTCCTCTGGTGACCTCCTGGTTATCATGGACAGTGTTGATTACAAACAAACAAAAGTTGTCCGTTACTCTGGCTCCACAGAAAAACACACCATTCAGTTTGATGATAAAGTTAAACATCTTTATTCACTTTCTTCTCGTTTTCCAAGATACATTACTGAGAACAGGAACCTGGATATCTGTGTCTGACATTGGAGCTAAAGCAGTAGTGGTGGTCAATCAGGCCGGGAAACTGAGATTCAGGTACACTGGACATACGCCTGCTCCAAAGAACAAACGATTCAATCCACAAGGAATCACCACAGACAGTCAGAGTCACATCCTTACAGCTGATTTTAACAATGACTGTATCCACATTATAGACCTGGATGGAAAGTTTCTCTGTTACATAGACTGTGGACTGAGTGGACCCTGGGGACTGTGTACAGATACAAATGACAATATGTATGTTGCTCAATGTAGAATGAAACAAGTGAAAAAAAATCAAATATATGTTTTTGCATTGAAAAACATTACAGATTTGTGTACTATGTAATCAAATAAAATAAGTTTGCAAGATAATTAATACATTGTCATAAGTATGCTGCTTTATGGAAACTTGCGATAATTTTTGAAATCTTTTGAAGGGTATGTACACATGTGTATATATATGTCTACAAAAGTACACTCTGTATGCAAAATGCATGAAACAAAGTGATTTTTTGAAATCATGTCAGAAATAAATACTAATACACGGATCATACAGCCCATACTCTCTAGTAATCTTAAGTTTAAAAAAAAGTATATCACTTCAATATGAAGAAAAATATTGACCCCATATTCTGGCTCAAACCGACGGGTTAAGGTTGAACCAAACTAGAACTTCATTATATGGGAATGCTTTAAAATCATTATAACTAAAAGAGGTTTTACTGTTCTGGAGATAATTTTCCACTGTACATGTATACATTGCATTATGTGTTTCCAAATTTTAGCCCAACCCTAACTTCAGGGCATGTAATTTGAAAAAAGAGATAGGGTTAGGTTAAACCCTGCTGCTCCTATTTTTTCTTTGACATTCCCATGAAATATTGTGCCCCCTTCTTAAATTGATAGGGACTCTAAATCCATAAAACACGAGGATGATTCAATATAAAATTATTACATGGCTTTGGAGTTGAAAAAACTTCATTTCTTGTACACATTCATTATTTTAAAAATGTACTCTCTTTAAGCCCTCTTATCGATGATTTATAATTTAACTAAACTATGTCTATAGGACATTCATGGTTCTATTATGATTCTTATAAAGAACTAAAAACTGACAAGTCAGCGAGGGCCCCCCAAGGGTAGAATTATAAGGGTGCAGCTTACGGACTGAATCAAAATATATATGAGGAATAAGAAACTGTATTCTTAAAGGTTCATTTAAGGCCGTTTTTCGGCCTACAATGACTCCAAATTTTCAAAATATATATTTTTTTCCTTTAAAAACTGTATAAATCATCGAAATCAAGTTTAAATCTAATGCCAAACCTTGTTTGGTCACTGACCTGTAGTTTTTTTTTTATTATATGGGGTCTCAAAGTGATGTACCATCGCTCCGTATCAATTAACATTAGCGCAATGGGAAAACATAAGTTCCTATAGTCTGTTTTTACCCTGATGTTCAATAAGCACAGTAGACATTGGTTCAGAATCACATAGGGTAAAAACAGACTATAGGAACTCTTTTATGCGAGGAGGTAAACAAATTCGTCACAGGAGCCTTATTTCGAACGGATATTTCAGTGAATATTTTTATCTTTGGGTTTAAATGCCTTAACGGTAAGCAATGTAGAACTAATAGTGACAGAGAGTCAAATAAACAACCAAATGACTTAATTGAAGCGAATGGCAGTGTGGCTTAGGTGAATAATATAGTCGGCCGAAGTTGGGACTTAATTTCCAGACATGAATTATGAATGGCTGTCCAGGGATTCTGTGGGCGTCAGTCCAAATATCTAGCCCAGCAGAATCTCAACAGAGATAACTAAAGCCAATGGTGATATTGGGTACTGATGGTTACATGCTATTGGTCCTTACATAGCAGATGGACGCAATAATGATGCTTTGATTTGAACCAGTATAATGAATAATGATACCGAATGATTGAAAACTTTCAAGGCTTTCAGATGGAGAAATATTCGTTCTGGACTGAGGATTTAGAGATTGCAGAGATTTCTTACAACAAATGGGGTTTCGAACGCAGATGCCGTGCTGCTTAGAAAAGGGGAAAAACAGCACTCTACTGAAGAAGCAAGCGAGTCCAGAATGGTCACAAAGGTACGTTGGGTTGTTGAGTCAGCAAATGGAAGGGTGAAGCGATGAATTGAAAAGCTTTGGGTCACGTGATGCCAAATACACAGATACAATTTTTCGGTGATTATGTACGTATTGTATGTGCATTGTGCAATAAGTACAGACCTCAGATGAGAAATTCTGAATTTGAGGACACTGAGCTGGCAATTCGAATGTCATTCCTATCAAAGACAACCAATGAGTTAGAAAAACGGGTGGAAAATGAAAAGCTTGCAGCTAAAAGAAGTGTATGGGAGTCAGTTGATGGTTTTGATATGGAGGATTTTCCTCTTCTTTCAGAGAATGATCTTAGAGATATTACCGTTGGGGTATATCAAATAAAGCTGGCAAAAGCTTATACATTAGAACATATATCACCTGAAGGGAAATATGAATTATTTGTACACAAACAAGAGGATGGTCTATTAAAGGCCAAGTTACAATCAAGACATAGTTCTTCGAAAACTTAAATACTATGGATTTCATATGATTGTGAGAAAAAGAAATCCAGCTAGTGTTAATTGTAACGGGGACCGTTACAGATGTTCCCCAAACGCTCCCCAAATCCCTTTTTGTGCCATATTCCTGCAAGACATATTTTAAAAAATATGATCAGTATCGAAGGATTTCATCAAAAAAGCTACAATGATATAAACTATATGTCATTCAACGCATTGTACACGCAAGCATATGTCTTCACATGCATGATGATCATGGCATGTTGTGTACACCATTAACATGTCTATATTTTGTGAGAATCAATTAAAAAAATCTTTAAAATATACATGCTACTGTTTTTCAAATATATTGGTCATTTTGCTTATTTTGCGCACACACGTGCATGCATACATGTTGTGCATCATAATCATATTCTAAATTTCATCCCGTTTGTTGAAAATTAAGAAAGTTATAGCCATTTAAAGTTTCAGCCAATCAGATTGAAGCACACATGCATGCGCATGCCTTCATGATTATTCTTATATATCATGCTGTAGATCTTCGTAATGTATAAGCATGCTGAAATTTTCAAAGGATTCTGTCAAAAAACAAGAAATATATTGAGACTTTAGTTTCAGCCAATCAGAGAGAAGTGCACGTGCATGCCCGTGAGATCTTGCTTTTTTGACTATGTCCTCTTGTCTCTGCTTCTAATATATCCTTTTGTTATACCCCTACTAAACAGTTTCTATATAATTCCTTACTTTAAAAAGTCCAACAATTCGACTGTTTTTCCCACATACCGGTCCAAGGAGCTGTTAAAATTGACTGTTAAAAAAGACTGTTGACAGCTGACGTCATATGGCATAAACTTAAGAGTAGTCTTATCATTTTGGCAATTGTGATTTCCTTTCAAATATGGCTATTAAAGATATCCCAACATTTAAACTTCTAAAGAAAGAACACCAAAAATCGATAAAAACTGAACACCGGGTCTCCAATTTACAGACCTACTTAGAGTGTAACATTATACCGAAAGGCTTTCAGATAAATGTTACACCTAACATAGGGCCAATCTCCAAACGCTTTCAGGAACGCTGGGATGTTATTACAAGGAGATGTTCTAAACAATTGATGTCACTCTGTCTTTCTTGGGATATCCACAAGTTAGGACAATTGAAGAGTGAGATCAAGTCCTTAGAATCATCCCTCAACGATATCATGTGCCAGGCCGATCTTGATAAAGCCCATAATGTTATAGACACCTAAAATATGGCCCTAACAAATAAAGTCAACAAGACTCAAAAAAAGAAATTTCTCCGCGACAGTGTTCCACAGTCTAGGAACAACTGGTCAGAGGTCAGAGTTAACAAAACACGCAAACCCCGCTCGAGACGCTTCAAACGCATTAAGACAATCGCGAGGAACGGACCCATACAAACTCCTGACGTCTGCCCAGTGCTCAATACATCTAGTGCTCCTCTCTCCGAATCTGAGACCTCAATGAATGCAAATCTCATGAAGGGTTGACCTTTACTTCAAAACAAACAGCAGTTGCAGACAAAGGATTTCATTAACATTAAAATGACAGATAAAGATAAGTCTACTATATTTTCTGCAGCAGGCTAAATAATTCATCCCAAGGGATTAATTGTACTTCTATCTCCTCCTTTTTTCTAAATTTACAATAAGAGCTTTTTCAGTAATGATAGAATGAGGTTATTATCCAACTACCTTTAAAATTAATAATATTCTTATAAAGCACAACAAATAAATAAATAAATAAGTAAAAAATAAAAAAAATTATTTATATCTCTTGTTTTTAGAATTCAGTGACATCATAATTCAATGTGTAGGCTATTTCAACAGAAACAAGCTAATTCAGAGAATTTGTGTCCCCCGCTTAGGGAAAAAGTAAACCATGCGCAGTTCGGGGAGGGGGGTGTCGGATCCTCCTGACTTAAGTTGAAAAAGTATCAAATGTATACATGTATACTGAAGCAAATAAAATATGCCGATATGGATATATTGATTTCATTGCTTATTCTTTATTATGTGTATAGAAGATTCTTTTTATATGGAATATTTATCACTCTGTGATGATGATTTTATGAGTTTGTAGAAGCCACACCTTATAAATTTTTCATTTCACATGCTGAATACTATAATTTAGTAAAAAAAATATTTCAGAAAAAAAAGAAAAATGCATCGTCTCGGAATCGAACCCGGTGTCTAATTTAACCTTTATTAAACAGTTCTAATAGATGTAATAAGAATATAGAGTCCGTCGAGAACCCGTTTTATACGTAATAACTCTCCTCATGTCCCTGTGCTAAAAATAGCGACATGTAATACAATAAATACTTATAAAACAAACGGGGCGGGACACTTTGAGAGGGGTGAGAGAGGTCTTAGGGACTTTTGGTATAAAATTCCATTGCAAAAGCTCAAAATCTTCTTGAAATATCGCCCGGAAAGGATAGTGTTACACACATACAGAATGTATATATTTACGACCTTGAACTTTGACCTTTTGACCTCAAAATCAATAGGGGTCTTCCTTAGGCCACAGGAAGTTGTTATGTAAAATTTTATTGCAAAAGCTCAAAGGGTTCTCGAGATATCGTGTGGAAACGAATGTGTTATAACAGACAGAATTTGCGAATTTATGACCTTGATCTTTGACCCTTTGACCTCAAAATCAATAGGGG